TCTCTGAGATTGTGACCAGTCTGTCATGGAATGCCGTTTGATAAAGCCCTGCTAATTATGTTCACTACAAAGAGAATATTTTTGGAATGTTGGATATCTGAGCGTTGGTGTACGAAAGGATGAAGCGGTGGAAAGAATGTTGAGTCCTTGAAGACGGAACGAAACTTTGACCTTTGACATGAAAACCTCAGGATAATTTCTTACTGGAATGACGGTTTCATTCCTCAAAAAAGAAAATTCCAATCTTAAACATTGAGAGTTTTGTTTCCGATTCTCTGTGATTAAATGTGAAACTCATCATAAGTAATACTGTTTGTCAACACTGTATTGCTCCACATCCTCCGTGGGGGTCCGTGGCACCTAGGGGGTCCAGGAAGTTACTGCAGGAGGCGGTGAAATGTTTTTGATGATTAGACATTTTTTTTATACATATTTAATATTTTGCTTACGTTTCATTAAAAACATGAATATTTAAACCCTGGTTATAATCTGAATAGATTTGTCTGGAATGAAATAATAAATGAATACGTTAAGACAGGGGCCTTCAAACCCTGGTTTGGGGACCAGAACAGGGTCATGGAAAATTTTGTTTTGAGTTTGTCTTTACAATTATTGTTAGTGCGCCTGGTTTTTTATATCGAAAGACTGTTTCTCTGTCCTGATAATCAAAGTGGGGGGAAGTCCTAATGATGAGAAAGTATATGGCTCCAAAACTGACACCAAAAAGAAAAAAAGAATTTAAAAGAAAACACCAAGAGTTCGTCCAAAAGGCTTCAAGATATTTCTCGGAGGCAGATATAGTTATCGCAGTTTTCTGTTGTTACTATACTGAAACAGGGAGCAGCTGAAATTCAGTTTAATAAGGAACACAGGAGTGTGCTCCTATAGCTGTGCTACTGTAGCTAAAAAGAGAGAGAGAAAAGGTGGTTAATGAAGTGCAGCAAATAACTGGGGTCACAATGAAAACAGTTTCCTCAGGAGAGGACTCTGGTATTTATCAAAAAACCTATTGATCGGTGTTGGGTACAGAGAGCACAGTCACCACACAACAGATGAATACCAATAACTTAAGGCGTCGTCGTCTGATTCAGTTCACATTACAATCCATTACATTTATCACAGAATGCATTAACAATGGAGAAAAGTTCAGGTCGGAACATTTGGTGAACTTTTTTTTTAAAAATGGAAGGAACCATAACAGAACTCCAGGAATGGAAGTCTGTTATTTTTCAATTAATTTGAATGTAACAGGGAAAAAACAAAAACAAAAAACAAACAGCCTTGAAGAAGTGAAACAAAATAGAAACCAAAACTGTCCAGTTGATGGGGTTTTCATTGGATTTGATATGAAGAACCTGTGTTAGCTTGCTACTGTGTTGAAGATATTTTCAGTTCCGATTTTTTTGGGGCTTGTGTTTAATGTAATGAAGTCCTGCTCACCACCTCTGAGGTCACCGTGCCAATTCCAAAAGTCTATGTTTTTTCCAACTTTTTTTTCTCTGAGATCCAGGAAAAGGTCGCCATCTATTGGGAATATTTATCTTTCAAGAAACACAGCAGTCTCTATGTCAATAGTTCTTTAAACTATAAGGAGATCATGCCAAGGGTGCTAATGCGTTTCATACCATCACTGATGCTGACTACGGCACTTTCTGTGTAATGGATCGTGTATTTAACTTTTTTAATGTCAAGTCTGGATCAGATGAATCAGAGATATTGATTGTTATAATTTGTTTCGGATCTTTACTGCACTACATGTCTTTCTTTTTGCATTGTGGTAGTTTTGTTGCTAATTTATCGACAAACAATATTAGCGTTAAAATTTAAAATTTTTTTTTTAAAAGTCTCCGTTAACACCGAGCAAAGCCTCAGTCAGAACCATAGGTTTGTCCCCTATTTTGCACCTAATTGCAGTAAT